AGACGGGGTACGGGAGTTGATGGCGGTAGCTGCTCCGGGATACAACCCAGGGTATGTCAATCCTGTCAGCTGCTGGACCTGCCCCCTCGGGTAGGCAATGAGTCCTTTACCACGGAGCAGATTTGTGAGGGTATCCTGCCAGGATCCCCAGTTAGAATCACCCTCAAGCTTCTGGCCTTCAAGAACGGTAATGCTGGGGAGAGACGACGACATAGGGGTAGTGGATATGGATGGGAGGGGATTTCGAGTGGGGTATGGGTGAGTCTGTGGGCTTAAACGTGTTCAAGACCGATTGTTGGACCAGGCACTGCCTGCGTCTGACTGCGAATCTGTAGACGACGTACAAGTCAGTCGTAATCCTCAGTCGCACGAATGGAGCGTAAGACTCAATACCTGTAGACGACGTACAAGTCAGTCGTAATCTACAGAGCTGTAAGTAAATAGTAAAGGGTATAAGTATAATCGACGTACCCTCAGTCGCACGAATGGAGCGTAAGACTGAGGGTCGTTAGGGAGATCTGGAGCTTATATACGATCGGATATGAAACGAATAAACAAAGGAAAAGAAATCAAAAGAAAACAACCGCTGCACGCCATATAAGGAGAATCTCTCCTCAACACTCCCATGTGCAGAAGCCGCAAATGCGAAACATTTAGTACCGGTCCTCCCAAATGTTCAGAGCAGCACCATATTCAAGTTTGCCCCAGCCGACGGATCTGTTGGAAAAATATCGTGGTCTGGTCGCTGCTGGGCGAATACAATACGACGAGGACCAAATTCGCGTCATAATGCAGGTAGGTTCTCTATCCGCGTCGCGTTATAATTTCAGAAATTTTAATCAACTTGCAGTTGAGGAGATTGCAGAAGGAGCTCGTCGATTATTCACCGGCAATGGCAGCTCCACATCTCCTCGACAACCCAGTGACATCTTCTGCATGGTGGACTGCCGACGTTTGCCCCGATGAACCGGCAAATATAAACTCTCGTGCATTGGTTTCTTTGAAAAGCCACGCCCAAGAATTAGCAGAACTAGATACACCCAAGGTATACTCACCCATCTTTACACTCCTAAATGCGTAAACCTTGTATATATCGACCAGGGGATTCTGTTGACCGGACCGCCAGGCTCGGGCAAGAGTTTTCTCGTCGATCTCTGGCTTTCCTGCATCCCCACACCATACAAAACAAGAAAACACTACAGTCAACTTATTCTAGAGATGTACCGTGGGGTATGGGAAGAAACACAGTGTAGAATGGCATATTCTCGGCCGTCCAACGAGATTGAACATGGGCCGTGGAACCCCACCATCCGTGATAAATGGCGCGAGCTTGTGGCCACCGGAAGTCTGCCACTTCTCTGGCGCCGGCGTGGCCAGGCGGGTGCCAGTCCATCCACTCCCACCATCGCGTTTGCAGTCGCGCGCAGGCTTGTCCTCCGCCACTGGCTGTTGGTGTTCGATGAAATCCAGCTGCTCGACATCTCAAGTGCGACTCTCCTCGCAGATGTCCTATCATGGTATTGGAGGATGGGTGGTGTGATTGTCAGGACTTCGAACAAAACTCCCGATGAGATCTACAAGCACGGAGTCCAGAGAGAGCGCCTTGAGCCCTTTGTCGAGGCCCTCAAAGTCCGCTGCCCCCTACTCACCATGCGAGCCGAGCTAGTCTCTCTTAGACAGACACTTCAACAGTTCGAGCTCGTGCCTCGCTTGTTGAAGTCTGTTGCTTACAAGGGGGCTGTGTTAGCAGTAGAATGTTATTACGTGATATCGGAGTTTGAATTCTCGATACATCAAGTCGAGATGCAGTTCTTCTTAGCCTCCAGTGAATTTTACCTTCCAAAATGTATCTGAATGACATCTAATACTCTCACAGATGGTGTCTGATTATTTGGGGAAATTTCTGACAAGTTTCAAAGAAATGCATTGGAAGTACCTGAGAAAAATTGTATCACTTCCAGAGCATCTTCAACCGCATATTTTCAATTTCTAAGGAGACGAAAACATGGATGAAGATATCCTGAAAACTTCTGTCCTTGAAATTGATGGATTCTCTGCCTTCGCGCGCCACAGAGTGCGAGAGGGAAAGTGATTACATAATAACATTCTACTGACAGCGCATAATGACATTATGATATATCATGAACCTCTGATCACAGATTTGGTGTGATACATCCCGGCCTCTGAGTCAGATATCCGGAGGAAATATCACCTTAGAACGAATCCCAAAATGGACTTATCTCCGGAACATGCGCCATCAGGCACCAGCCCGCTGCGAGGGCGCTGTCGTGGTCGGGTGGCGGTGCTCCCGACGTTTTGAGCCCCTTTTGGCGGTTGCGGTGGGCTTAACAGGCGGCGTAATCAGGCGGTGAGTCGATTCATTACGTCGCGGGGGTGTAGTCCACCCAATTCTGGGCGGTACGGTCGACCCGCTGCTTCCCTGGGCCCTGGGCAAAATGGCGGCTTTTGCAGGAGAACACGGTATTTGGTCGTGTGAGGCATCAGGAAGTGATGGGTGTGGTGCTGTTATAATCCCATACCTTCTCCTCGCCCCCCACCACTACCGGCGTAGCCCGCCTCCCTCCTCGCCCCGTGCCCTGGGGTGTGGGGAGCTTGCACAAGGCAAGCTCCTCTATTCTTTGATATCGCGATTCCACCCATTGGCTTCCCCTTTACTATCCTGGACATTGTTTAATACCGGGGTCGCTTTGCCGCTTTCCGCCCTCCCTGGCCGCCGCAAATCCCGCCAGCAGCTCTCACGCATGCGGCTTTTCTATTCATTTCATTTCATACCATGCCCCTGCTTGTCGTCGTCATCCTTGGCTTTCTGCAGCTGTTTTAGTGGTGTTGCGCTACTCCCACCCTCCCGGCTGCGCAGCACCCTGTGTACGCCGAAACATCTTGCCATTCTCATCCCCCATCCTCCATTGCCCACCTCCCGGAGTTTCAGGCCGCTACGCGATGTACAATCGCTCGTTATGTGCCTTGGCGCGCCCCCGCCCCGCCCCCCCCTTTCCGGCTGCGCAGCACCCCGTGGACCCCTATGCACCTTACCATTACCATACTCCAACCCCCGCAGCCCACCTCCCGGAGTTTAGGGTGCTACCGCTCATTACGCGCCTGCTGCACGCCGTAGCACCCGCTTTTGCTCCTGCCTGAACTGCGCACCCTGGAACCCCAAACACCTTCCATTCCTATCCCCCATCCTCCATTGCCCACCTCCCGGAGTTTCAGGCCGCTACGCGACGTACATCACTCGTTATGTGCCTTGGCGCGCCCCCGCCCCCGCTCCCGCTTTCCGGCTGCGCAGCACCCCATGGACTCCCGATTCCACCTTCCTATCCTTTCCATTATGTAGTTCTTTTAGCTTAGTGTTGTCTTATCGTTCATGAAATAAGAATTACGGGCTTCCAAACAAACAAGACCCCTGTACATTCAGAGTAGAAAGCTCGATCTACAACTAAGTTTGCTCCGACGTGTCACAACTACAGTTTACTCCAAACCTTCCAACGCAGGTTCGTTCCTTTGTGACTTGTGTACGTCTCCGTGTTGCTATCTTCGACGAGAGCTTCCAGCTCCGGAACGTCCTCATTGTCCTCAATTTCCGACTCGGGACTGCCTTTCGGCCGCAACTGGCATCCCCCCGGCTGCGGCTGGCTGCATATATCGTAGGAGAGAACGGCTGGTAGGTAGGTCGGCCACGATGCGGCAAAACTGCAAAGAATGAATTCGTGCAGCCCCTGATTCTGTTTCTGCACGCACAAGGTGTAGTCAAAATTGGCATTGCGCTCGCCCTTTTGCCTATTTCCACCCTTCGAGGCGACGGCGTGCGAGACAAATGAGGCCATGTCGACGCGCACTTCACCGAGACGGGCGTCGGGAGGTGGAAGCAAGCCGAAGACGGAGGGTGAAACCGTGAAATGCAGAAGATCATCACATCATTGATGCGATGCTGTCGATTTCCTAGAAGTATCTTAATTTTTTATTCAAAGAAACTTGCAGAAGTCAGTGGTACAGCTCAGTTCGGATTCAAAGCAGTTCAGATTCAAGCGCAGTGCATTTGCGAGGTAAAATTACAAATTACAAAAGAGGTTCGGGCGCATCACAGGCGCATCAGTAGTATCTCGATTCAGCAATGTTTTGATCCTCATCGTCAGTCCCCCGTCACTGTCCAACACATCGTCAGGTGGGCGGCATATACATGTCTTCCGCTCTCTCGAGCTCAGAGAGGAAACGGGCATCAGTGTCTGCTGCCTCGCGTGCATGTGGACAATCTTTATGTTTTTCGTCACACATTTTGTTCATGTGCTTCACCGCGTCGGCGATAGTATCGTGTGGGACGACGCGGACTTTGGATGCGTCGTCGTCTGCCACCGCTTTTTGGACGAGGGCACTAGGTATGTACATCAGTGGCTTGGCGGCGCATCAGCGCGCATCGGGACGTACTGACGGAGATAAATGCCATCCAGGCCAGCGCTACCAAACAAGCTCCACACCTTCATTTTCGCGGTCTCATCCTTCAACGCTGAGCGGTCGACACCGTAGATAGCAATGGCACAGTATAAGATGCTGTTCTCATCCGCCTCCGGCATGCAGATTCTTATGAGGGAATGGGTTGCGGATGGGGTTGCGGACACGACGGCAGCAATGTCAGCTGGCATGTTGTAAGTTGTGGTTGAGTGGGATCATCAAGTGGCAGGATGTTGAGTTGATATAAGGAACAACTCGGCTGCGGAACTGCGGACCGGCTGCGGAGCTGCGGGACGGCTGCGGTGCCTGCTGCGGGTTGGTCTGAATGATCCCTTCTCACATTACTTTAACAGCCGGTTGGTGTAGTTGGAGTAATGTTAAAATTTCCGGTTCATTGTAGTCGGCGATGCACGAGTTCGAACCGGCCGGAAATTGTTTTTCGACTTTTATGCCTTCTTTCTTTCTTGATTTATTTTTACAAGTCATTTTTTAGGGATAGGTAAAAAAAAATCCTTCTTCAAACCCCCCAATCACCCCACCTCGAATTGAACGAGGGTCTCCAACATAACGACGAGACTCATTCCTCATCATATCTTGGTATCTTACCACTAGACCATGGGGCCGTCTACAGACGGAGGGAAAGCATGCACATATATATTTGAACTTGAGAACAGATGCTTAGGTATATTCTCGCTATGGGAATCGTTACGAACGCCTTTTCCTCCTGCAAAATATTAGAATGATTTCGGAAAAAAAACCAAACGAAAACTCACTTTGTGGCCGGGGCGGTATTTTCACCAGCAACCTGCTCATCTGCGACGCGCTTCCCTTTCCCCTTCCCGCTTTGCAAAGCCTTGATCAGCGCCTCGTCCTCTCTCGCTTGCCTTTTGTCCACAAGTGAAAGGACGGAGCCCCGGTTCGCCGGCGGTCGAATCGTGCGCTGAGGTCGGTTAGGGGGCAGGGCTACCACGACGAGGTCGTAGTTGCCGTCTGGATTGTTGAGGCGCATGTTGTCGGCTTTCGTTTTAGCCGCCTTCGCCGCCTTGTCGCGATCCGCCTTGTCGTTCTCCAGCATGAGCCTCCTGGTGTTGTTCGTCGATGAAAACACCAGTCTTGGCGGTGATGCCGGTTCCACTGCTAGGGCTGGCATCGCGGGCGCTGGCCCTCCCCGCTTCGGTTTTGTAGCAACCTTCTTATGCTTTCTGGTCTTCGCCTCCCTTGCCTTTTCCATCCGATTGTCCAGTAACCCCTGTGTACGCGGCGGCGCACGACTCTTCGGTACATTGGCCATCGGTCGTGAGATGGGGTAAATAGGAGCAGGGCGCTCATCTTGCGTCGAAGTCTTTGTCGGCGACTTTGTCGGGGAGCGACGCAAGCGTGGGGGCAGCGAGGTGGAAGCTGGCGGTGTTGCAGGTCGGTCGACACCTGTAACGTCAGAGGCAGCGATCGGCGGGCCCGCCAAAGGCGATGACCGGTTCGGAGTCGACGCGTGGCGCTGGGGCGTTACCAAACGAGGTGCTGCATTCTCGCTGGGCGTTCTTGGCGTTCTTGGCGAACACAAGGCAGACAAGGGAGGCGCGCTGGCGCGGCGGATGGTCGAAAAGTGAGGCTCTCTCCCGAAGGAGGGGACAGATGCACTTCCTTGGTCGTTCCTAGCCAGAGGGCGTGGACGCACTGGCGTCGCATTCTCCAATGTCGCTGGTGGTGTTGTCGATGGTGATGGCTTATGCGCGTGAACAGCGGTAACAGGTGATAACGAAGTGGCGGCCTGGAGAGGATCTGGGTGCGATTGTGTCGTCGTCAGTAAGGGCTCTTCCGGTGTCAAAGAGAAGTTCGACGTCCAGGAGTTGTCGAGAAAATGAGTGCTGCCAAAGCCTCCGTGTTCGTTGCTAAAAGGATTGCCAGAGTCGGTGTGGCTGTTGTCCGTTTGATGCGCGAGGAACAAGTCATGCTGGGCGCTTCCTCCGCGGAAGAGGTCGTTGTTCCCGCCGAACAAGTGGTAGTGCGTGTTGCCCCCGCCCAAAACTTCGCCATGCATGCTATGCTCGCTCGTCGAATCGTCCTCTCCTCTGTCCAAGCCAGCTATGATGTCATCGAGCTCCTCGCGCACCAAACCTCCGCCTGCGCTCTCAGGTCTCTCCGGCGGCATCAGTTCGTCAGGGAAGTGGTAAGGGTCCGCCGGCGTAGCCTGCCACGGCTCTGCATCACGCTGCAGCGCCTGAGTTTCGTATGACTGATACGTAGCAGCAGGGGGTGTTCCACGGGTTGTGGCGGCTGAGGCAGATAAAGAATGATACCTCGGAGTAGGGTGTGTTCCACGAATTGGCATGAGGCAGACCGAGCTGTGGCAGGCGTTGCAGCCGGTGGCGGTGTTCCACGGATTGGGGTGGCTGGTACGGCAGCTGCTGGCGCACTGGGTGGGAGAGGAGCGGTAGAGGTAGGTGCGGTGGCCGGTGTGGACTTGGTCTTGCGCGGTCGGCGAACGGGTGCGGGTTTGGGCGCAGGCTGTGCAGGTGTGGCCTTCGACTTCGACTTCTTTTTTCTATTCGTCGTCCGGGCCGGCGTCTCCTCCACAGATTCTCGTCGGCAGTGAATATCGCCCGGTCGAGGCGCACCTGGCGTGCTAGGAACACAAGACGAGTAAATTTTAACGTGTCGTTGACTTTGCAGTGTATACTCACGAATGGCCTGGCGCAGGAACTTGAAGAGCGGGTCTGAAACCGCCTTTTTCCACTTCGGATGAAATACGTCAAAAGCGACGCCTCCCGGCGTCGTCCCAAAAGCCACGCTGTCAAAACGATGTGAGTGAGAAAGAGACGGGATTGCCATTTTGGGCATTACACACGTCTTCATCCCGAAGTCGCCTCCAAGGCGTGGAACCGGGCCACCGTAAACTAGAACCCCCATCCACCCAGTCATCCTCTGAAACTCCTCCAAGAACATCTCGGCCGCCTGGCGAGATTCATCAATCGACCTAAATCACTTCATTCAGCCACTGGCAAACTGCAAAGCGAACATAGACACCCACATTTGATACTCCTCGGGCGTCCTTTCGGGCCCTTCACCTTCCTGTGTCCTGTCTGGGGTTTCCGTCGTCACAATCTCCTCCTTCGCCTCCTCCCTCATTGCCTCCTTGACCACTTCCTCCTCTGCCTCAAAACACTCCCGCACCACCCGCCGAAAAATCATCATACACCTCTTTCTCGCTCCCTGAACGCGCATCATCTTCACCGTGTCGTCGTCATCGTTGATCCATTCACCGTCCTCGTCGCGGCACTGCGCTGCCTCGTTCAGAGTATCGTATTCGGTCTTTCTAAGCGCTGCCTGAATCTGCGCCCGGTAGTGTTTCTGGTAGATCTCCAGCACCTGGTGTCGACGGCGCCTTTTTGGCCGTTTTTTGAACAGCATAGCGGCTAACGAAGTCGCCGAACGGTTCACTGCACCGCGCTTTCTCATTATTGCGTCGCGGCCATTTTTGAACTGGTTTTTGAGTTGCTGAAGGTGGTTAGTTACATTCATTCCTTCAATCGACATGCATACTCACTTTTTCCCTGACAGCTACAGCCTTCCCAAAAATCTCCCGCTCCTCGTCTGTCAGTTGTTGCGGCAGTGGCACGTCGGGATCCGGGTCGAACTGTTGTACAGGCAGATCCAGCTCTTTCTCCTCCGGAAACTCGTTGAACCACGCCTCTTTCATTTTCGGCCAGAATTCATCGAGGCGTTTCGCCGTCCCCTTCAAAAGATATTCCGGCATCCAGAGGTTAATAAATTCGCGTCGCTCTCCAGTGCACCATCCGGTAGGCGGCATTTCAAGATCGTTCGAGGTTGTTGGGACAAAGCACACGCGGGCGCGTCTTTTTTCAAACACTCACGGACGCTTACGACTTCCTCCCAAAACGGCACACCCCCCTCCGTCCTAATCCAGCGATTTCACTTGGGACTCGAATCGGTTCCTTCCCTGATCTTTTCCGATAATCAATTGTTTCCATCAGTCCCTGGCAACAGTACATATAACATCACATTGGCCGTTTCCACCCCAAGCTACCAACCATGCCCTCTTTTCCTCCCACCATCATTGCAGCCAGCTCCGACACGCCGCCCTCATTGTCAATCTGCAGACCATGGCGCATGCCGCCGTCGACGCCCAAGGTACCTCTATCCTCTCGCAATCATGTCCGTCTCCTCACAATCTCTCTTTGCTAGCTCACCTCTGCAACGTTCTTTTGGAACGCATCCTCGGCGACGGTCTGTCTCCACCGCCTTTTTTCATTTACCTATTAACGCCTCCCTTTGTTATATCAGCTGTTGTTCCTGTCCCCGCCTTCGTCCCCGGTACACCCGTCACACCCGCCGACCTTGCCTCGTCCATTCCCGAGGACGAGGATGTGCAGAGTTATTGGGTCGTTCTGCGTGGCCGTGAGCCCGGGATGTACCACAGTGTGTAAGTGTTCTTTTTATGGTGGTACCCATCCGCTCACTCACTCACTCTCCGTCCAGTCGCGCTGCGGAAGAGCAGACCCGCGGTGTCCCCAACCAGTACCAGTCGCGCAAGACCGGCCGCGCGGAGGCCCTCGCATTCTATGCGGCCAACCACCCCGAGCACGTCAAGAAATGGGTCGAGGTTCCTGCCCCCGTCCCCACCGCCAACCCCACCAACACTTCGGTTGGACCCTTGGCTGAGGACGCTGTCGTAGTGGAGGCTTCGGACGCATCAGGCGAAGTGTAGATACGTAGGGTTAGCTTCAAAGTGTCTGTACCCCACACATCGTATGCATAATTTTCTCTGCCGTCAGAACCAAACCTCTTCCCCCCCCCAGTAAGAATATTAATCGGATTTTCAGTGTCCGACCGTGTGCATCAATTTCCGTCCCCCCTCGCCCTTTCGGTTTTTTCGTGTTCTGATCTGCCGTTTGGAGATACGTTTTCTTTCATCATTGTTACCGTTGCGCCAGCACACTCCCAGTCTGAGTCCGTGTTCTACTCCCTCCTGCATCTCTTGGCATTGTAGCTCAACAGCCATAAAACGGCCAGGTTCACGTACTACCGTCCGCGTTCCCACCCTTCCTACTCTATTTTCACGCCTATCTTAACATACGACACCTATTCTCGCGTATCTTTAATCCGCAACAGCATCAATAGAATTTTGATACAGGATATCACCTGGTATCACACACTTGAGAGGAACTGTCACCGCATAAATAAACGTCGGGTAACCTGGAAAAATTGTCTAACATTGTGTAGCATTGTTTCGCGTAGTACTCGCGTAGTATCTACATACCCCTTTTGGGCAGTAGATCTATTATTTACTGCTTTTCTGACCCCCCTTCCTCCAGCGTTTGAAGAGGCGTGTCCAGGGCATGCGCTCGTACGCTTCCATCGGCAATGGCGATCCCGGAGTCTCCCATTCGCCCGGCGAGACGAAGCCCCGAACCGGTGAAACGTCTCGGCGCCTTCCTGTGGGGACTACACGCCGGCGAACTGGGCTGTAAGGGCTCGACGGGGCAGGTGGCGACGACGGCGGCAGCGGCGACGCTGGAGCAGGCGGCGACGACGGTGGCAGAGGCGAAGCCGGAGCGTTGGGCAATGGCTGCGCCGCCGCGGCTACGTCCTGTTTCAGGTTCGA